TCCATGTAGTGAACCAGCAGAGGATCGTCCTGGAGGCTGCGGAAGCCAACATGGTGGCCTCTCGCCTTCTCATAAGCCTTTTTGTACTGGACCTAGGAGTTAAAGCACATGGAGCTTCTCTAGTTTTTTATATGTAACAATTATTTAAAAAGTGCAGCAAATTTGGTCTTTCAGAAAACTTACATCACTGGCAGCATGTCTGGCAGCTTTGGCAGCAACAATAGGGATGGCATCAGGCTTCAGGTCATAACCCTTAGCAATCAGCTCCTGCCAAGCAAACTTGTAGTAATTCTGAAATCACATAAAACATATAAACAATGTTTAAGGCATGTATCCATTATAGCTTTACGCAAACATGAACAGATGCACACACATACTGTGGTGATATACAGTTATATAAGTTTTAAAAGTGAGTTGAAAAAATATTTTATTTATTTTGCTTTTTTATGTGCATTCGTCACCTTGCTGATGTTGTAGGCATTGCACTTGGCCTGAAGGAACTCTGGGACATCCGGGGGCAGAGAGTACTTCTGATGGATCTCCTCTAGACCTCGCTTGTAGAACAGCTATAAAAGAATAAATGTGACAGGGCAGAAATTAAAAAAAAGTAAGAGCAAACAAGAATCTTCCTAAAAGGGATCTTGGAAAAATGCAGAAGGAATTCGTTCTCCAGTATGAAGAGTGACAGTGACGAAAATAATTTCCCCCAGGGATCAATAAAGTATTCTGATTCTGATTCTGATTCTGACACTTGACTCACATCGCTCCTCTGAAGCTGGTTGACTTTGGCCTGCATCATGATGGGGTGGTCGTCAATAGATGTGAATGGGATCTTGTCTGGGTGTGTTCTGTATTTTTTCTGAAGGAAAAGAGTAAATAAATATTATTATTTTAATGACCTATCAGCTCTGAAATATGCATTTTGTTATTACCATGAGAGCAGATGTAAAGAAGCCATGTTGCACACATACCTCATTGAGGATCTCTGCAGCTTTCTTAGCCTTTTCCACTTCCAATGAGCCATATGGGACCCATGGAGTACCTTTGGTATAGCTGTTGTAGTCAGCCTTATACTCATTCTTTGGTGCAGAGAAACACACAAAACCAAAACAAATGTTGATGAATATTTAAGCCCACAATAGCACATCAGGACATGTTTTCATATTATGATGAAAAAAGCAGAACTTTAGCAAAACTGAGCAGTTGGAGTCTCTACAGTCTGTTTGGACTTACATCACTCTGGATAACGTTGGCTTTCTTGGCCAGATCCAGCAGGACGCTGTCAGGTGGAAGGAAATAGTTGGTGCTGATGCTCCTGTAACCAGCCATGCTGGAAATTGCCTGGGATTTCTTAGCCAAGGTGACTGACAACATATCCAATGGTGTATGATACTTGGTCTTTACTTTTTCATAGTCTTTTTTGTATTCACGCTGTGAAGATATTAACAAGAGATTACTCAGTTGCCCTTCTTTTTAACCCCCATAAATTAATATTTATTAAAAATATGACATCAACTAATAACTTACATCACTCTGGATTTTGGCCACATGGACAGAGTGCAGCATCTTCGGATCGTCGTTAATACTGAGGGCTCCAACCATCTTTCCCTTGTTCTTCTCATACTCCTTTTTATATTTAACCTAGTAATGAACAGAATTTATCATGGATTAGAATACATAACAGGTACTGCATTTATCAGGTACTAACATTTATCTGTTGAAGCAGTTGTTGAAGTAGGATACTTACATCACTGATGGCGTTTGTGTGAGCACGGGCAGCAAGGATTGAGATGGTATCCCCTTTGATCTCAAACTTTTTCGCTTTGGTTTTCTCCCAATCATACTTATAGCAGTTCTGCAAGAAGAAAGTGTGCCATTCAGGAAATTGAAATCGACAGTATGAGAAATCAAAGCTGATACGAGTTAAATTTTAGAGATATGCAAATATCGCAGTTACTTACATCACTGAGGTTAAAAGCGTTAACTCTGGACTGGATGAAGAAGGGGTAGTCTGGGGGTAGACTGTTCTTCATTTTTATTTCCTCGTACTTTGCCTTGTAGTTTAACTGCAGAAGAACAAAATGGTAATATTATTGTGTCAGTACTGCTCAGGGTATATTTTCTGATAAGCTGTTATTTGACTTTCTGTCACTGGAGGGCAGTAGTGTGCTATCAGGGCTCAGAGATGGTGACTGTTGCTTTCTCCACCTCCCCAACCCCTGTCTGATCACAGGGTTTATTCTGGGCCAACTGAATGCTTGTTTCTATTTATACTACAGAGAAATGGCTCTCCAGTTTCCATGGTGCCCATAGAAAGACAGCTGGGCTTCATAGATGATTGAGCAAATTTAAAGGTGATCTGCATATCTAGTAGAACTGGATTGACACAAGCTGGTGATTGCAAGAATTCCAGGCCATAAATGGACACCGAGAAAACAAAATAGTCACATTAATGTTACTATTATATGCAGGTATCACCTAAATGTTCAGTGGGTGTTTGTGAGCTTTACTGTACCAGTTTAAATTCTAGACTTTCCTACATTAGCACCAAGAGGAAGTGGTCCAAAAAAGGTACATACGTCACTTAGCTGTTTGGCGTTGATGGCGGCTTGAACTTGAACTGGTGAATCCACCACTTGTGTAAATTTCACTGTGTCTGGATGTTGCCGGTAAACTTTCTGAAAACCAAAGGATCAAAACAAAAATAATAATTGTCCATATACATATAAGAAATCCAAAAAGAACCTCGATCCATTTTATTGCAAAGAACAGTTTTATAATCAGCGACTACTCACATCGTTGCATTGATGAAGTTTCTTCCCAGCTTCGTATTCAGGCGTAATTGTTTGAGGAAAGAAGCATCTAGTTTTAATGTCTTCATAATCAGATTTATATAGTTGCTGTGAAATACAAAAAGTAAATATTGTGTCATGAGGAAAGGCTTGATGAGGAATATATTAATACATGCTCAAATTTTTTAATGCACAAACCTCATTTTTCATTTCCTCGACTTTCTGGCAGTGAAGCATATAAAGGTCCTCATAGCTTCCAATGTAGTGGCCCTTCACCTCATTTTCATACTTATTTTTGTAATGTGCCTAAAAGAAAATCAAAACGTGTGTTAAAAGAGACACATAAGAGGTTCATATTCAAAGAAATTTTAACTCAACGAGCTCTCTTACATCAGAGAACTGCTTAAGTACTGAGTCCATCTGAAACTTGGGCGTGTCACAGTAGTTGATGCTGAAACCCCTGGATTTCTCATAGCTAGCCTTATATACTTTCTGGAAAGGAAATGGCAAAAACAAAACAAAGTCAAACAACGATAAAAAAAAATATATATAGTAATTGCAAACAACAAGCAAACACTATGCATTTCACTTCCACTTATCCAATTCAGGGTCGTGGGGAGGGGCTGGACTCTATCCCAACAATAACAGGGCAATTGGCCCGGTAATTTAAGCAATAATTAAACAACAGCCTAAGATTTTATAATTTAGTTTTCCTGAAAAGGCAAAAGGTCTATCTTTTGTCACAGAAGAAAAATAAACTTTCTGCACAGGGCTTTTTAAACACCTACATCACTGAGGATAGTGCCAGCATATCTGAGCTGCCTCAATAGAGGATTCTCTGTGGCGGGGAGCGTGTTGTAGTCAGACTGTGCTTTTTTCTTCTCATACTCCTTCTTGTATTGGACCTAAAGACAGAAACAGATCACTGTGAGTAAAAAAAGAGAGGAAAGTGTGATAATGAGGTGTGTTCACATGGTTCAAAATGATGGCACAGTTGGTTGGCCAGCTAAGAAGTGTGTCTTTCGCATTTCTTGAAAACGATGCATGTTTCCCCTGTGTGTGAACGTGTGGGTGGCTATGAGGTGCAGAGCAACTGAAAAGCTTTGTCACACAGACTCGCATTTTATTCCTGCGTGCTAGTAAAGCTACAGACCGAATGTGCATGGTGACAGTAAACCAAATGTGGATCTCTCAGTCATGCAGTGTGGGCACAATACAGTGTATCCCTGCGTCAGAGTGGACTGAGTCTCTTGACTCACACACTGCTCTGAGACATGGGTCAACTCTCTGTCGTGTCTTCCGCATGAGATCGGGCCTATAAAAATACTGTGTTACCTTTGTGTTACCTTTGTGTTGTTGTATGTTGCATGTTGTCGCGCTTACCTCACTAGCAGCAATACGAGCCTTCTTGTTTGCATCATAAGTGGGTGTTTCTGTTTGCATGAAATAAATTTGGTCTTTTGTATCCTCATAATGTTGCGTGTATCTTCTCTGAAAGGAAAACACACAGCAGTTATGTACAGAAAAAGGACAAAGAAAAGCAGAAATCTGAAATCCTTTCCTTTAAATAGTGAATTCTTACGTCGCTGAGGTTCTCCATTGCCACCCTGGCAGTCGCCACATCGAAGTAAGGAGTCTCACACCACTGACCCTTTACATTTTTATTGTAATCTTCCTTGTACTTAAGCTGTGAGGAAAAGATGGCAATTAACATAAGAAGGTTTTTTTTAATTAAAGGACAAATGAATAAATCTCATATGTTTATATAAACACATTAGGAATGATTGGAATTCCTGTCATTGTTAGCCTCTCCCACCCAGCTTAGTGTTGCTACTAATATCAGAGAGCAGGTGGACTGATCCCTTTCTCAGGGTTGGTTGGTGTCTGGGGCTCCTGCTTCAGTGCTTACACTGTGCAAGGCCCAGTTTTCTGACTCTAAAATAAGCAAAGATATTTATTACTCCCATGTCTAGTTAGGGGATGAACACTGTTAATCCTAGAAAAGTTGATGAGTATAGCGAAAACAGATGCACTATACAGATAGATGGATAGACTATACAATGGATTAAATAATTGTGTACTGGTCTCATATTGAATTTATGGTATTTTGGATTTTGATCTAAACTAAAACTGCACTGCCCCAATCACTGCTCACTGTCTGTAGTGCATACTCCTCTACTCTTATTAACTGAAAGCACTGAACATTGCTTTCAGTAAGAGTTTGTGGACTTAAATATCTGATCTATGTATATTTATAGGTTAATGACAAGAAAAATTCATCAGTATATCTACCTCAGTCATAGTGGTTTTTGTTTGGTTTAAAATTGTTACTTACATCACTGCGCTGTTGGGACACTCTCTTGGCCAGCTCCAATTCAGGAGGATCAGGCAAGGAAGTATACTTAGCCTTGCGCTCATGGTGGCCCTTCTTATAGTGAACCTGTCAATCACAACAGGAGTTAACATTTACTAAGACGCTCAATTCGTCAACATCAATACCTGACTTTCATGCACAGTTTGCCTCTACCTAAATAGACTGGTAATTTCCATGCATCGGGAAAAAAGTTTAACAACACAGAACCCAAGAGGAAGGAGACGTACAGATAACAGCTGTAATAAGAGCTTGACCTGATATAGCACCATGCACGATATATAATTTTCAATATTAGGTATTCACCGATATAATCAAATTAAAACATTAAGAGATGGAGGAAACACCCTCCAACGATATTACGAGTTTTGAGTCTTTTCTATTTTATCACCAGAGGGCGCTCTGCAACTTCCTTGTTAGCAACGTGTTTGGAACAGCACAATCACACCAACCAGCTGATCTGAGCAGAGCGTAAGGTTTTGTTACGTGACTTGTCATGGCACTAAAATATTATTATCTTTAAACTGCAGTCACATATTATCTTAATAACAACTCATAAGTAACAACACACAACAAATGTTGGAGAAATTTTTTTCCTGTGTCTAAAAGAAAAAAATACTGGCCGATTCTTAAATCTTGGTCATCACCAAGTATCATCGTCACTGATAGAGGATAAGGTCAAAAAGTATCAGATCGATACTTTGTGATCCTATCTGTACGGAAGAGGATTAGTACGGAAGAGGATTAGGGCCACCGGGGGGGAAAAAAGCGGGCATGTCTTTTTTTCTTCTTTTCTAGAATTCTGAGATTAAAGTTGGAATTCTGAGAAAAAACTCAGAATTCTGAGATTAAAGTCAGAATTCTAAGAAGAAAAGTCAGAATTCTGACTTTAATCTCAAAATTCTGAGAAAAAAGTCAGAATTCTGACTAATCTCAGAATTCTAAGAAAAAAGTCAAAATTCTAAGAAAAAATAATTCTGTGAAAAAAGTCAGAATTCTAAGAAAAAAGTCAGAATTCTAAGAAAAAATAATTCTGAGAAAAAAGTTAGAATTCTGACTAATCTCAGAATTCTGACTAATCTCAGAATTCTGACTTTAATCTCAGAATTCCGAGAAAAAAGTCAGAATTCCGAGAAAAAAGTCAGAATTCTGAGAAAAAAGTCAGAATTCTGAGAAAAAAGTCAGAATTCTGAGAAAAAAAATCAGAATTCTGACTAATCTCAGAATTCTAAGAAAAAAGTCAGAATTCTAAGAAGAAAAAGATTCTGAGAAAAAAGTCAGAATTCCAAGAAAAAAAGTCAAAATTCTGAGAAAATATTCAGAATTCTGAGAAAAAAAGTCAGAATTCTGACATTTTCCTCAGAATTCTGGAAAAGAAAAAAAAAATGATGTGCCCACTTTTTTTCCCGTGACCCTAGTCCTCTTCTGTATATCTCATATCAGTTGGGCTCTAATTGTAAATTGTCCTAAATGTAAGTTAAACTGTGATGTATGACACATCCAAGTCAGCACAAACAAGTGGACACTGAGAGGAACATTTCAACATCTTTACACACACCATACGTTTTTTTGTAATTAACAGTGTGGTAATTGTCAATTGTCTTGTAACACTACAAGAAATAACACTAGTAACTGTCTAAAATAGAAAGCTCTAGGTGGTGTAATTCTATGTTATAATTTGCGTAATTTTATTTGTCTGTATAAAATGTTTTTGTTCTTTCAAAAAGCAATTTAATGATGCAGAGATAGTTAAAATGTATAGATTTGAAGAATTAACAACTTATAATATAGTATATATCATATTATAAGACATATCAAAACAGAGGACACATTAAAGCAGAGGCTGGCTCAATACAGTGGTTTTTTTGTTTTTGTTTTTTGCAGATATAATAACCACAAACACACATTGAAAATCTGAATAACACGACAGATATAGATAATAAATTTTACTTACATCACTAAGGACCTCCTGAGCCTTGGCCACCCTACGGAGCTCAGGACTGTCACTGTAGGGGTAGTACATGGTCTTATCTTCATCCCAGGCCTCGGTATAAAGTTTCTGAACAAGGTGTAACGTTATCACTTACTACGTGAATATAAAACATTTTAACAGATATTATAGAATTGTTAAATTATGCAATTATGTAATTTGGAATTTTTTTTAAAACTTTGGACTTAAAAGTCAGCCCTTGAATGCTACACTGGACTTACTTTGCTGTAGTTAGCAGCATTCTTCACAGCCTGAACCAGCTCAGGAGCATCAGGAGGCAGCAGGTACCTGTCCTTGGTCTCATCCCACTTCTGTCTGTACAGAACCTATAAGAGATAACAACAGCATTTGTGTTATACAATTAGCATTAGCATCATATTTATTCATTCTCTTTGTATGTTGGGAGATTTGGGTAACTTACCTTGCTGATCAGCTCAGATACATGCTTGACGTGGGCAATCTCTCTTGCTTCACCGTCATACAAGCTGGTTGTCCGAGCTTTGTTTCCCTCCATACGGTATTTAACCTGAAGATAATGCGTGTTATTTCAAATTATTCCTCAGTAAAGCAAGATCCAATCATATTTGAGACCAGAGGCATATTTTTATGTTTTATAGTGTATTCATCATATCTTAAAGAGTACCTCGCTAAGCTGCTCCTGGGCCTTCCTGATACGAATCATTTCAGGCGTATCAGTAACGATGGCAGGAGGTGTCCCTTTGGACATTTCATAAGCCTGGCGATACTTATTCTGTCAGGGACAACGGTCATAAAATTTAAGTAAGTAATTAATGTCATACAAAGCAGGAAAACAACCAACAAGTAAAAGCAAGTAAAAAGTCAAATAAATGTGTATATATACATGCAAATAAAAACTCAAACTTGTTTCTTACGTGGCTGAACTGCTCCAGCATCTTCTGGCTATGGGCCAGGTATGGAGTCATGAACTTGGAAGTATCCACCTTGACCTTCTTCCTTACTTTCCTGGTGGGCAAGCCAGACTGGGAGAGGACAGAAGAATACAATTAACGACCAAACTAACACATGGATCTCGTTTTATTGATTACGGTAGGGGGAACTGCCAGGAAGGAAAACGACAGGGAAAGCAAAAGGACTGGTGATACTTTCAAAAAGCAGACTTTTAGAGATTTTATTACACTTTAATGCAAATGTGTCGACTGGACAATGAGCTGATATTTTCAATATGAAGCAGGATTCCCACTGCTCTAATTACTCACCTCGAGTTAGTGAAATTATTTAATCATCAATGATTTATTCTATTTGGAAGGACAATGGAGATTTTGTATACTAAGGTTACGCCTGCTGAAATGTAGATGAATGAAAGACAAACCCAAGGCAAGCACTTACACCTACATTTTAAATGACTTGCATGCAACACAACATTGAGCAGCACATATCCACAAAGGTTACACTACCATATTATATTTGTTGGCCAGCAAAGCTGCAGGAAACCAAATTACAAAAGCCATGTGTTGTCTTAGTAAAAATGCTGAATCTTAACATATTTAACTTATTATTTAGCTTTAAAAACTGCCAAAGCCAAACAAGACAGCACATTATCTATACTCTATATACACATGCAGGAAAGAAGGGGGATGCACCATAAGCCATGGGAGACAAGGGTCTCCTGCCCTGCTTGAACCGTTGTGCCTGGGAGGAGGTGTTTTACCTGTAAGAACTGAGTCTTGTGCTCAGTGACAGTCGTCGTTGAAATCTGCTCAACATATTACAAATATAGGAAACACTCTGGTTTTTCAAATTTTCCAGGACAGATTATGGGAGAAACAGCAAAATATTTGTTTGGATTGAGGGTGATTTTTCCACAGCTCTGGCATTCATCAATTACTGCCACTGCCACTTTCAGCACTACGAGTAAGAAATCACTCTACACTGTATCGTGTTAGCAGCTGTTCTAGCAAATGCCCCCAGGCAGGCTAATAAGTAGAAACAGAGAAGGTTGTCATCGGGGACTTTTGGTGTAACCTACTTAACTGACTCAAATAGAGTCACCTAAAGGAGGGGCAAAATTTCCAAAGGTGAAACTAGTATGGCTGCTGTCTAATTAAGCTTATTTTAAACAGAGGATAAAGAAGCATTAATATTCTATGTGAGCCCGAACAGCCTGAATCTTTGATCGTCTGACCAAGTCTAAAAACACTGCATACTCACATGACAACTGTTCTATTCTTATTTGTTATTTCATATACAAATGCTTTTGTTATCAGTTGCTACAGGACACAACAGTACACAAGCTGTTTGGACAGCTTTGTAATCTCCACGGCTGTTCACACATAGGTCTTATGGGTTTAAAGCACTGATTCAGCCAAACAACAAAACAAGAAAAAAACAAGAAAAAAGCCCCACAATTTAGCTCCAACAAAATCAATTTATACAGGATGTTTTTATTCTGTTAGCTCGGATTTTGAAATATCTCACCAAAGAGCGTTCTACCTTCAACTTAATATAATGCAGGGGTGCTGTATTTAGTTTCTGAGGCTTACATATAAATACACTAAATAAAAGAAAAGTCCCACTCACCTCAGTTAATTTAGAATTTAGAGGGTTTTCTTTTAACTTTTTGTAAAAATGCAAATGTGAATTTTTAAATGTAATTTCTAGTGACGACTTAGTCACTGACAGCCTCTCACATACATCCCCATCCAGGAATAGCACTTCTAATTTCTAACTTCCTTCTTCTTAGGATGAAGAGCGTTTACATAACATAAGGTTGAACATTAAGAGACAAGAGACCTTAAAATCTAGGTTAAATGAAAGAAAAGCCAGAGCTGAGAAAGAACATCTCAATCGTTTTTATCAACATTCGTAAGCGGCTTCAGTATATGAATCTCTCAGACAGGAGAGAACCATAGGTGTAGATGAACCACTGTAACTAAGCATCCCTACAGTTCAATGCAAAAACACTCCTTGTCTGCAGGCCACATTCTTCCACGCATCCACCTCCCATAAGCGAATTTCTAGCACTGTGATATTAACCTGTTCCAGCCTATCAGGGGCTGATTTACAGCACAGTGGCCCGTCTAATTTTCTCCCCTCCCTTTCCTCCTTCCTCCACTCTCTGCCAACATGCTCCAGAAGTCCATTTCTAAATTTGCCTGAATGCCAGATAGAGAACTGTACACTTTGCTCCTTAATGACCTGAGAATTTAAGTCTTTTTTTTTTTTTACTTTTTAGCGTTTATTATTATTATGATATAGAAACAAGTAAGAAACTTGAAAAGAAATAACTTAACTAATGAGTTTTTCAATGTTTATGTATTATGTATTAAACTAATCATATGTTTTATGTCTGACCTGGACAGCACTATGTTTCTCCCCATTCTGTAAATTAAATACGAAGCCATCTTACATTTTATTGAAAACAATGCATCTTTTCTCCGCAGTACAGATGAAAGTTCTAGTGAAATCAGAGTGTATTGATTTTGAGCGTAATTATCTTTCCTACCTCCCAAACGATTTACATCTCTTCACAAAAGGTAGTAAATCTGTTTGAAACAGTTGATATGTTATATGGGAGTTAAATGATTTTTTAAAAAATGTTTGCTTGGTTTGGATATTCTGACAACCAAGAGCAGTCATTCAGACTCCCCTATAAGATATCAGCAATATTAAGTTTGAACAAATACCAGGCTAACTTTAATCCTAGTTCACCAGGAAATATGGGATTAAATGTTAGCCTTCTGCTTTCACTCTTCCATCAGACACTGTCACAGAGACACTGAACAAGACAATAATTCATATGCAAAAGGGACTCTAAAAGCAGCAAAACTGTGATGAAATCATGGGGGATGTGAGCACTCAATCTGGAGAAATATTTCACATGGGAAAATAGTAACTTCCAGAAACTGGCACACCCCCAAACTGCATGTAATCCAATCTTTGCGTGTCTATCATACACAGGAGGGACGCTATGGGGATTTAGGTGCAAATAGATCATTGCAATATATATTCCTCCTCAAGCAGTGTAGTGAAATCAAATGCTGGGATCTATGGAAAAAAGTCACTTTACATGTCAGACTTGTACGATTACATCTGCTTTACATGTGTTGCTGTCTGGCATATGTCAAAGGCTCAAGTAAAGGTATTTGCAATGCCAAAAGGACACAAATAAAATGCAACATTATATAATTAATAGAACTATTTTTCCATAATTGACTGTTAAGGGCAATCCAGGCCATCAGAAGGAGTCCATCTGAAACAGGATATACCAGCAGTCATGTATGTCTCCCTCCATGAACTGCTGACTGTAAGAGGTATCGTCACTAACCAAACTATTCATAGGGCCTTCCACTGGACTTGGAGATCCCACACTTAAATGTATTAAATGATATCACAGCTGAAGTTCTATTATCCAGATCAAAAGCCAAAATATAAAAAATGCAACAACAGTACTTTAGGATTTATTTACATGTGCGATTAAAAAGGGATCCACTTACCCTTTCCACAACCTCCTCCTCCTCCTCCTCCTCATATTCTTCATATTCTTCATATTCCTCTACAATTTCTGTCATTTTGAGACGATTTGAGAGATTCTACACAAAACACAGATCACATTTTCAGGTATGCGTTACTCTGAGGGAGTAATATATATATATATATATATATATATACATTTTTAAAAAAACACCACAGTGTAGTGAAACATAAATGTTCTACGTGTTCTTTCAAAATAAAATCAAAAATTTTAAATGGGATATAATGGGACTTAGAGAAGATAGGACGGCTACACCAAAGATATTTCAACCCTCCTCTTTGTGTATATGTAATATTTATGTAAACATATATATAAACTATAACAGCAGCATACTGGCGTTTAAACAATGTCCTTGCCATACCAGCAAAGGTGTCTCGCAGTAATCTCTGACAGTAAGGAAGCTTCACTTTCCATCCAACAGGGCCTCAAACTGACAGTCCAACTCTGTGATTTGCCCAATTCCTAAACAAAACAATAGCACAATGTGTAAAACACTTTACAACTTATTCAATGAATAATTAAACAGGGAGATCTGCAGAGTTTACTGTAATAGGTGAGACACTGACTAATTTTAATAGGCATCTGATTTTTGAATATGTGACTGCCACCCTTCCTCCCTTATGTGCCACAACACAGTTCAAAGGACTGTGCCTCCTGGCTGAAGGTTGGCGACAGCTGTCCAACAGCGCTCCAGCTATTTGACATGTAAGCTAATGCCACAGCCTGATTGGCTGACTCTGTTTAGCAAATGGAGATGCAATACCTTCTGAGGCTGCAGGTTAAATATAGGATTGCATACTAACTACCTTTTTTAGTACATGGATGCTCTCCCTTTGTATTAATATATCTATATTTTCTCTGCAAAAGAACTAAAGAAATCGCCAGAATCATAGAGGTAGAAGGATGAAAAAGCCGGAAAGCTTCAGAGACTATGGAAAGAAAACAAAAAGATTCAGACTCCTGCTGAAATTTCAGATACATCCAAAGGATGGCCTTGTCTCAAGTGACTTGGAGAGTCTTGTAGTTCTGGATTGTTTGGTTACTCCGTCAATGTGTAAAAGATTGTTCACACTCCTTATTCCTCAGCAGGGTATTCTTGGATCCAGATGGCAGCCAAGGATGGAAAATATGGATCTCCAAGCAGATGGAAAGCCATGCAGGGAGCAGACAACATGGATATTTGTTGTTTTTTGTATCCTTTCCTTTGCTTACCGGTTATGTTAAAGTTTATTGGTCTCCCAAGCCACCAAAGCCTCCCCAGCTTCCCTCCAGAGAAACGCTGGGCGACAGCACACAGCTGCGGTTTCTACCCAGGTTATCATGTGGCTGACACAGCCAATCACAGAGAACTGCTCTCGAGTTTCAAAATCTAAATATACCTATGTGATCCTTTCAGAAAAGAGCACCTGTTGAGGGTAATGCATCAGCGGTACAGTTATGAGGAAGGCAGTGGGCACTGGCAGTGGGGTCTCAGGAACACAAAAGTAAAGCCAGACTGTGACAGTGCTACCCAGTGCGAATGGCTTTGTGACAGACGTAATGTTGACAAGCAGCAATTTTCTGTAAAAGATATGGAAGTATGTATGACCAAGGCGTGAGCCGGCGAGGAGAAGGCTAGCTTAAAGCAGAGCATGGTTCTCAGTGTCAGATCTGTTGAGGTCATCCATCAGCTGATCCTGAGCTGACTACATCCTGTTAAGAACCAAGTCAACATCAAGCTGAGGATACAAACCAAGAAATGAGCATATGCCTCCAAAAAGTACAAATTAAAAATGAATAGCTACTCGAAGGTGTTGCTACTACACCACCAATGCCCCTTGAATCAGAAATAAGCCTCTTAGAAATTAAAATGTCTAAGAAAGAGTTGATTAATGTATTGGAGTATTAGGACTGTATTAGTATGTATTAGGACTGAGAACATCTAAATAATATATTTTTAAATGATTTTTTTGCATTGCAATCCTTTAAAATACATCTTTCCTGTTTTACTGCCACGAAAACAGTTTTAGGATTTTTAAATTCATTGTATTCCTCACTGTCACATGTTTTTGTGCACATCAAATGAAGACATTTTCAAAACATGAACAACCATAAAAGTGCAAAATATTGCAATTCCTATTGCTGAAAATACATTTTAAACCTTGTTTGGAAGTTTGAATTAATGCTTAAACTGTAAGCTGTAATGGCCAATTCACCAGCTGCCCACTGCTTTCTATTAAGTTAAAAACACCAAGAGAAGAAATCAATATTTCTGCCATCACAGGGGCAGCTCTAGATGTCCTCCTTTTTCATTCTATAAAACAGAGTAATATAGTTTAGCACCTCAAAGGTGAAGCAGCTGGTACTTTTTTTAACAGTGAATTTCCAGGCCGGTACAGCAGAACACTCAGGTGTCATGTGAGCCACATGCAACAAAAAAAAAAAAAGCATTTTGCTATTATAAATAAATCAAGAACTATTTCTGGACCTCAACCATACAGCTGAGGTCCAGTGGTAGCTATAATTAACACAGCAATTACTGTAAATGTATAGAAGACCAAGAAGTACCCTACATTTTCTGTTCAGATGATGTGCCTCTATCGCTCTGGTATTTTATATCATTACTCTCACTCACTGCACCAGGAGCAGGGTGCTACCCGAGGACGAGATGGACAGCAGCAGCTGAATATCTCCTCTCTCGCTCAGTGTGCCTCTCTCGAAAGTGGTGGTGACCCTCCATTCTCTTATGAACTGGATGCTTGCTGCTTGGTCCTCATTGCCAACATCACTGCAACTAAAACAAAACAACAACTTGAGTGAGCTCACTTTTCCAGTTACCCCAAGAGATATCTACCCATGGTATATACAGGATCTGATGAGGACAGATAAAAATATTCTAGGCCTTACATTTCAGTTCCAAGTTCTGATTATTTATTTATTTTTTTAATTTTGGATATTTCTTGCTTGTCCCCATAGAGTGGAATATATTGAAAAACAAAATATAGTTATTAAATATAGTTTCTTATTGATTTTCTAAATCTAACAACAAACAACTGTTTTAATAGTTGCAGTTTCTTTTGGAAGCGTGTGCACTATTTAAATTTCAGATTTTATGGTGCATCGAAGATAATTATGATTCTGCCATCCCAGTGCCAAAGACACCCAAGGAGGTGGCTATGTGATGCATAGTCATTGGACAAAAACGACTGATGACCAGTGAAACCAGAACACAACAGCTGCAAGACAGACAGCTACAACACAAACACTGCCAAGGGTCAATGATAAACCACCAGCACCTAGGATAAGTATGAAGCCCAGTGAGGTAAGAGCTTAAAATGAAACTAGATGGTCAGTCATAGAGGGACTTTGCCAAAAAGATGCAGGTGATATCACAAATAATAACCTATCAAAATGTATAAATGATGATATATATACCCTACTTTTTCTAGCTCTATAAGACACATGCAATAAGCTGGTTGGTTCTTGTAAGCAAGAGCTGGACTGATTTAATAATAAAATTTTTATTCTTTTTTGATGATTGAACAGTCAATATTAGCATCATTGTTGTGAAGACACTCACTGACCACCTGTTCAACTGCTCATTAACACAAATGTCTAATTAGCCGTTCAAGTGTTAGTAATAAGTACTGAGACATATAGACATGGTAGAAACGACCTGCTGAAATACAAAGAGAGCATCAGAATTAGGAAGAAAGGTGCCAGATAGGCTGATCTGTGTATTTCAGAAACTATGATCTACTGGGATTTTCCCACACAACCATTCAGGGTCCATAGAGAATGGTCTAAAACAGAGAAGATATGTAGTGAGCTGCAGTTTTCTGTGAAAAAATGTCTCTCTAATGCCAGACGTTAAAGAGTAATGCTCAGTCTGCTTCAAGCTGATAAAAAGGTAGTAGTACCTCAATTACCAGTCTTTATAATCAAATTATGCATAAGAGCATCTCTGAACACATAGTGCCTTCAAGCAGCTGGACTAAAACAGCAGAAGACTACATCGGGTGGAGCTCCTGTGAGCTAAGAACAGGAAGGGGAGGCTACATTTTGCAGAGGCTCACCAAAGCAAGACAAAAGAAGAATGGAAAAATATTGTCCGATGAGCCTCAATTTCTGGTGTATTAGATTAGAATTTGGTTTAAACAACATGAAAACATGTCTCCATTCTGCCTTAAATAAATAGTTCAGGCTGACACACTTTGGGCCCCCTACCTGAGTGTTGCTGCTGACCATGTCCATCTTGATGTTTCGCGCAGGATAATGTGCCTTTTCACAAAACTCAGATAATCTCAAACTGGTTTCTTGAATATTGCAGTATGCTCACTGTACTCAAATGGCCTCCACATTCACCAGATCTCAGTCCATCGGAGCTCCTTCGAATGTGGTGGAACTGCAGATTTGCATCATGGATCCACAGCTGACAAATCTGCAGCAGCTGTGTGATGCTGTGATGTTAATATTGACAAAACCTCTGCGGAATTTTTCAGCACCTTGTTGAATCAATGCCACAAAGAATTAAGACAGTTTTGAAGACCTAAGGTGATCCAACCCAGTACCTGTAAAATGTACCAGCTTTCAAACACACTTCTGCGGGAATTGCAGTGGCTGGCACATACTCAAAATAAAGTGAGGACACTGGTCTGCTATTCTGCACTGTGTATTTATGAAATGTTTAGTGCTGTCTACACTATTTATTGGTATTTTGGTGAAAGGGCTTTATTTTGAGTTGACATGCCCACTACAATAAAATCTGCTTTTAATGAAACATGTACAGTCTGACAATATGAGAAGCTATAGACCAAAGTCACCTCTGCGTGAGCTTTAATAACAATGACACATCTGTTGAAACATTTGCATCATTAAATAAACAAATCAGCACAGGTATGAGAAAAGTGAAAGAGTATGCAAAGCACATGAGTCCATGTCTCTAAATTTTCCTAATTTTATTATATATACAGAGAGTGCAGAATTATTAGGCAAATGAGTATTTTGTCCACATCATCCTCTTCATGCATGTTGTCTTATTCCAAGCTGTATAGGCTCGAAAGCCTACTACCAATTAAGCATATTAGGTGATGTGCATCTCTGTAATGAGAAGGGGTGTGGTCTAATGACATCAACACCCTATATCAGGTGTGCATAATTATTAGGCAACGTCCTTTCCTTTGGCAAAATGGGTCAAAAGAAGGACTTGACAGGCTCAGAAAAGTCAAAAATAGTGAGATATCTTGCAGAGGGATGCAGCAGTCTCAAAATTGCAAAGCTTCTGAAGCGTGATCATCGAACAATCAAGCGTTTCATTCAAAATAGTCAACAGGGTCGCAAGAAGCGTGTGGAAAAACCAAGGCGCAAAATAACTGCCCATGAACTGAGAAAAGTCAAGCGTGCAGCTGCCAAGATGCCACTTGCCACCAGTTTGGCCATATTTCAGAGCTGCAACATCACTGGAGTGCCCAAAAGCACAAGGTGTGCAATACTCAGAGACATGGCCAAGGTAAGAAAGGCTGAAAGACGACCACCACTGAACAAGACACACAAGCTGAAACGTCAAGACTGGGCCAAGAAATATCTCAAGACTGGTTTTTCTAAGGTTTTATGGACTGATGAAATGAGAGTGAGTCTTGATGGGCCAGATGGATGGGCCCGTGGCTGGATTGGTAAAGGGCAGAGAGCTCCAGTCCGACTCAGACGCCAGCAAGGTGGAGGTGGAGTACTGGTTTGGGCTGGTATCATCAAAGATGAGCTTGTGGGGCCTTTTCGGGTTGAGGATGGAGTCAAGCTCAACTCCCAGTCCTACTGCCAGTTTCTGGAAGACACCTTCTTCAAGCAGTGGTACAGGAAGAAGTCTGCATCCTTCAAGAAAAACATGATTTTCATGCAGGACAATGCTCCATCACACGCGTCCAAGTACTCCACAGCGTGGCTGGCAAGAAAGGGTATAAAAGAAGAAAAACTAATGACATGGCCACCTTGTTCACCTGATCTGAACCCCATTGAGAACCTGTGGTCCATCATCAAATGTGAGATTTACAAGGAGGGAAAACAGTACACCTCTCTGAACAGTGTCTGGGAGGCTGTGGTTGCTGCTGCACGCAATGTTGATGGTGAACAGATCAAAACACTGACAGAATCCATGGATGGCAGGCTTTTGAGTGTCCTTGCAAAGAAAGGTGGCTATATTGGTCGCTGATTTGTTTTTGTTTTGTTTTTGAATGTCAGAAATGTATATTTGTGAATGTGGAGATGTTATATTGGTTTCACTGGTAAAAATAAATAATTGAAATGGGTATATATTTGTTTTTTGTTAAGTTGCCTAATAATTATGCACAGTA